ATGGTCGCCAGCCCCTGGGACACCCGGCAAGCACGCCAGACCTCTGGGCATCAGCTGGTCGCTGGCTGACTTGTCCTGAGGGCTGTGTCCCAGCAGGCCAGGGTCACCACCTGCCTCTATCCCGAAGACAGTCACTGTGCTCAGGACGGGCCTGCGTGAGAGCGGGGCCTGAGCGGTGTCCTGCTGGACCCTGTCTCTTCCAGCCACAAGGCAGGACCAGGCACGGGGGCGGGGCACGCAATGTGACAATCTCCCTCTCCCTCGGGGACAGACGACTGCATGCTCACTGCCACCCTCCGGGTCCCTCAGGCCCCAGAACTCGGCCTTTCCCCCAGACTGGACATCGCCCCTTCCCGGCTGAGGGGCTCCACGGCCCGACCCCCCACGGCGGGTCTCGGATCCGCCTCTGTCCCCCTCCCTCTGTTCACTCACGGGCGGGGGGCCTGAGGCCGGCGTGGGGGGGGGGCGCGCCCCACCCAGGAGCCAGGGCTTTGCTCCGGGGGGGGCCGTGCGCCTAAGGGACTGTGCGGCCTCGGGCTCGGCGCTGGCCAGACGCGGGGGTCCCGGGGCTGCCCCCTATCCCGCGCCGCGCTCAGGTGAGACTCGCCAAAAATCCCGACAGCTCGCGACGTGCCCCGCGCTCGGCTGGCTGTTTGATCTCTCCGTCCGTCCAGCGCCCCCAGCTGCTAGCGGGGCATCCCGAGGCGTCGCTGCTCCCGCTGAGAGGGCGCTGGCCGTGCTTCTGGCGGGGCCGCTTCGCGCGCTTCTAAGCCACGTTGAACCTTCAGCAACACCTTTCTTGCAGCCAACGCTGTGTTTTGGGGTTCGTTCGTGGTGCGCCTGCGCCTCCGGGGTCCGGATTCTAAGTGAGGTGCTGCGCCAGCCGCGCTCCCTGCCAGGCACCCCGATTTCTAGGAGTCCAGGGCACATACACCTCATCCCAGAGTGTGGTTGTTTTTCACTTGTTTGTGGTCATTTGTCAAAAAGTAAATCACATTTATTAATCTTTTCCTTTATGGCGTGTCTTCCTGTTTCTTGCTTAAGAAAGCCTCCCTGCCCTAGTGATTTAGTTTTCCTTTTCTTGTAAAAGTCTTACAGTTTTGCTTTTATAGCTAGGTCTTTAATCCACCTGGAAATTTATCTTTGTTTACACCATGAGGTGAGATCTTGTTTTTATCCTTCATTGTTATATATATTTGTGTCTATTATGTGTGCATCTCTATTATTTGTCTATGATCTATCTATCATCTATCTTCCATCTATCTGTATCTATCATCTATCTATATTTACGTAACTACCTACCTATCTAACTGGCCGTTCATCCATGTGCCCATCATCCATCCACCCACCAATCATCTCCTTTATCCTTTTACCTTTTACTGTACGGATTGCTCATTTTTCTAGCACCGTTTCTTTCTTTCTTCTTTCTTTCTTTCTTTCTTTCTTTCTTTCTTTCTTTCTTTCTTTCTTTCTTTCTTTCTTTCTTTCTTTCTTTCTTTCTTTCTTTCTCTTTCTTTCTTTTTTATCATCTTAAGCCAATTATTTTAGTGCCTTTATTAAATCTATTATTTTTAAGCTGTCTGTAACATCTTCTCTGACATACTAATATTTCATATTAACACAATTTTTCTTCTATGCACATTTTTTTTCTATCCATCTACAAATCCCATGTCTTTCTTCTTCAAAATATTGTTCTTAGTACCGTTCAGGTGAGATTGTCATATGCCTTGCAGAACCTTGCTAGGATGCGGACTGAAATTGCACTGGGTTTGCACGTTAATTTGGGTGGAATGCCATTTGACATCCCTAAACCTTCCACCTTTGGGCAGGTCTATTTCTCCACTTTTTGAGGTCTTCTTTATACTTTTCAATAAAGTAGTATTTTTCTCTGTAAATGCTTTGCTTGACTTTTGTTAGACTTTCCCTGAGATGTATTTGTTTTTGTGGCTATTGTGTCTTTTTTTAAAAAAAACGACATCTCCTGTGTGTTTGTCGCTGGTTTAAAGACCATTGCTGACCTGGCATACTGATTTTGTGCCCAGCAGCATTGCAAAAATGTCTTTTCAGTTCTAATAATTTGCCTATGTCCATTATCTTCTGTGAGTGACAGTGGTTTTGCTTCTTGCTTCCCGCCCCCTCTGCATGCTTTCTCGTCTAAGCATTCTTACTAAGATCTCCAACACAAACTTGAACAAGTCTTATTTCTGATTTAAGTCATTAAGTATGGGTTTTGCCAGGATCTTGGTAGATACCTTTTAATACATTGAGAATGTTTCCTTCTATTTTCAATTAAGAATTTTTTTTTGCCCTCTGCTTGCTAGGTGAGCAGCAGCCCTTTTCATGAATTGTCTAATAAGGCCAAACTGATCTCCAAATTTACTCAGTCGAATTTTGTTTTTAACGCTATCAATGTCTTTTTTCATCGATTATTATGATCATGTATTTTTTTCCGGATTGATCTGTTACTGGGGTAAATTACATGAATACATATTTTGATTTTAAATCAAGCTAATAATGCATCTAATTACATACTGCATGATTCCAGCTATGTGACCTGCTAGGGAGAGAAAAACTATTCCGACAGTAAATAACAAAAAACAAAGAGAAGAGCCACTCTCCCAGAAAACTTTTGAAATGGACTGAAAAAATCTAGAAAGAGAGAAAACAGAAGCAAGGAAAGAAAGAGAGGAGAAAAAAAGAATGAATCAGGGAAAGGGGCCACGTGTACAGGGAGGGAGTGGGCGTGGTTTAGAGAATCTCAACCACAGAAGACCGCAGAGTGACATCTGCCAGTCCCGAGGGGACACTGCTGCACAAGAATTCCACATCAGACGACGTTCCACAGATGCAAATGTTCGGAAGTCCACATATAGGAATGCTTTTTGAAAAAAATCGATAATAAAGTCATCCTGAGGGAAAGAACTGGGCGTGTCATTTATTAGCGAATCGAAAACGATCAGTTGTATAAATTGCAGAACAAAATATATATGTTATAAATCTTGATGATAAATCTTTAAGAAAATTTGGTAAGTGGGAGAAGAATGTGCTAATTTTATCCTGTTTTATAGCAGGGAGTGCATAGCTATGGACACATATAGGAAAGAGTAGTTAATTTTTAAAAATCAACATTCTAGTCTCAACATTTTTATAAGCTTTTTTCTTAATTTTATAGGAATATCTTATGAATACTTCTTGTAATAAAAAAAAATTTATCCAACCTTCAGCACTTTATTTGGTTTCACTCTGTTTCTGATTCAGAAAATTACTTTGGATTAAAATAGCAATATGTAGACCCTCCTTTGTGTGTTCCCCCTCCCCCCCCTTCCTTAGAGATATTGTGAATTGTATTTACCAAGTATTAACAATTGTTGCTTCTGGAGGGTGATTAAGTAAAATATTTTCTTTTAAAAATGTTTTTTATTGTTTGAAGTATTCATAGTTTTAAAAATTACAAATGATATTATTTCTTTAAAAAGGGTAGAGCCTGGGGAAATAAGGAAGAGGGGAGGAAGGGAGAGTGAGAGTTAAGAAGGTTCTAGGTCAAGAAAACGGTGCAGGAAGTATGGCCGAGGAACCATCACATGCAGCTGGGCACTGCCCTGTAAGGTAGGGGAGCAGTTGCCTACCATGAGGTTGTGTCCAGGAAAAGCCCTGTCATGGGACGCCATTCTTACTTGAAAGAATGACAAACTGGCTGTTTGGGTTTGGATACGTGGCAGATATTTCCTTGAAAACAAAATGAGACTGTCAGTGCAAGGAAAAAACACTCAGTATTTGCTGTCGATCATAAAATCTGAGTTTCACATTAAGTTAAAAGACTTTGGGAAAACTCGAACCTGCCACTGTGCTTCCAACAGTTAGTTTTCTGATGAGACTACTGGCAATATAACTAGTGATTTTTGGTACTGAATAATGAACCGTGTCAACATTCTCTGTAACTCAGAGAATCATTCTTTTGCAAATGACAGTGTAGTGTCGTAGGGTCATACCTGGGTAAAGGATCCGCTTAGGATGCAGGACAGATCAGTGAATTTTAATGAGCACAAAAGTTCACTGGTAACAGTTATAGATTACACAATGCAGCTAATCCTTTTTTTTTTTTAAATAACTTTTATTTTTAAATAGTTTAAATCTTACGAGAAGTTGCAAAAATAGTACAGAGGCCCACATCCCACCCCCTGGCTCACCCAGCGACATCTTACACGGCAGCTGTCAAGTGGGCGAATGATGGGTGCTGGTGCAGCCAACTCGGCAGACCTCGGCAGGGCCTCGCCCGGTTTACACGCACCCATTTCTTTTTCTCCAGCTAACCTTTCAGAAACTATCATTTGTTGAGTTTTAGTGCGGTATAAAAAAGAACATCCACGATGATCAGAAAAAGAATATTAAAACTCTTCCCTTTCCCAACTCCATACAGATGTGCTTGCTTCACGTAAATATATATATCATAATAGATTGAATGGAGAATTCACTCTTTCTCAATGAAGCCAGGCATTAAAGAGATTTGCAAAAACATAAAATAATGCCACTGTTCTCCCTAAATACTTGTTTTGTAAAATATAGTTATTTTTCTTTAAAACATTATATTAACATGCAACGGGGTTATATCTTTATTTTTAAGTGAATAATTTTTTTTGAAATGCCTTAAGTTTTATTTTCAAATGCCATTAATGTTGACAGATGTAACCCCTAGGAATCAGAGCTCCCTGGAAACCCCAGTGGTTTCTAGGACTGCAAAGGGGGCCGAGCTCTGCAAGATCAAGCCCGGCAGCAGACGAGCCCCTTCTCGGGGCTCTCGGGCTCTTTGAAGGTGCCGAAGGACAAACCCGCAGGCTTTTTATGCATCAATTCAAACACACACATTTGGGTCAAATCATAACTTATCCAGAGGAAATGAAAAGTTCAGAGGTTTCTGTAGTGATTGTCAAAAGGGGCATATGATTCATATTCAAATTAAGTATTTTAGTATATGTGCTGCCAAAGCGAGCACTCAAATTAAGTATTTTCAAGTGATCTTTTATTAAACTACTTACTATTTAATCTAAATTGAAGTACAATAATCAAAGGAATTGAAGCCACCCATCGACATTGTAGAATTCATGTCTTTTTAAAAAAATCATCTTGCATTTAAACATATTCTTATTAATCAAATCCATGAAGTAAATAGTAGACTTTAAAAATGTATTATTTCCCAGGGTCTTGAGAGGTTGGTCTAAGGCTTTGTGTTGGTCTGATCCATGGCTGTGAAGAATACACAGACCGCAGCTGTGATGAGCAGATGCATTCCCTCGTAGAGAAGTTTTGGAGAAAACACACTCCATATAAACAAGTGGTAACGCAGGGTTGTCACCAGGATGAGATACGCAGAAACCGGAAGAGAACAGATCAGTGCGTAGCAGAAGCAAGCGCGACGCA